AATGTGTCTACCCTTACTTGTTGAGTCTATTCTCGGTTTTAAATTAGAGTTTCATACGTATATATCTATTCCGGCTTCAAAATAATTTTCCTTATATATATATATATATATATATATATATATATATATATATATATATATATATATATATATATATATATATATATATATATATATATATATATACCTATATTGTATTTTAACGCGTTAGAGTGGGTTATCAGCATTATTCGCTGAACAGATATATTTGGCTTTCAGGTACAGATGAGTAGCTCCGGAGCGTGCTAGAGGACTCGAGGCTTAATTAGTTTAATTCCTTATCGGCCTGCGTGCCATGATGATATACTTGACATTAATTTGAGGATTTCTGTTATTTAGATAGTTAGCCTATGCATCTGAGTTCTCCAGCTCAGATGTGGCATAGCACCCCAAACATTTATGTTTAGTTATGCTCTATTTCGGGATTTAATGATAGTATTGCCTTTATTTCATAAGTATTCAAAGTTTTAAATTTTAGGGGTGTTACACCATCTCCCCAAAATTCCGGATGTGATTTGCGGTGGACTCGGTGCTCTCCCCGGCCTGAGACTCGGCTTGCCGATCCTCATTACGGGCAGGCCTCTCAGTCCGCCGCCCCTGGGTTCTGGTTCTTCTGGTGTGAGTCTTTTCTCGGGTGAGCTCATGATTCTGTCGACCTGACCGCGCTCGGCTGGGTGCTCCCTTACCCAGTCGTTCTTTCGCCGATTGACGGGTTATGTTTGGGCCCAGTCTGGAGTGCATGGACCGAGGCGGTGGATCTTCTGCCCTTTGGTCCTCTCGTCTGTCTCTGTCAGACCTTTGGGACGGATGTTGGTTTTGCGGTTGTGGATTCGGCGATCGGGAGACCGATGGTTCCCTCAGCTCCCGAGTTTGTACGGCTACGGCGCGAGCAATGGCATCGATCTGCGCGGGGGTGAGAGGTATCATCGATGGAGGTCGATTTTGAGGCGCCGAATCGCCTCCCTGACTTTGTGAATTTCGCTGGTTTAATTGATTCCTTAGGTCTGCCTCAGACACGCTGTGACGATCGGAGGTCTGGCTTCGACCTCAGCCATCGTTTTAAACTTTCGCTCCTGCTTACTTGACTTTCTGCTCTATTTCTGACTCCTTTCTCAATGCAAAAGAGCAAATCGTAACCTTTCATTTCGATCCCCATGGACGGCACAAGTGTTGGTTTTAGGGTTTTTGGGCCTAGGGAGGTCCAACACAACCTTAGTTGGTAGATTCACATTTCAAAAATAGAAGTGAAATAATAGCTCTGTAAGTGTGTGTGTATTCTTGGCGTGATCTTGTCGTCCCCCTTACATTCTTGAGGAGCCCCCTTTTATAGTGGGTCTCCTTGGAATCATTCAAAAAGTATACATTTAAGGCCATAAATCGGCCTATTAATTCTAGGGGTCGTTGGGCTGCCGTTACTGGGCCTCCCAACGGCTTGCTGACCGGGCCCCTTAAATGGCCTCTTAAATGCTTTAACAGCTATCTCCGTGCTGCTTGCCCACTCGTGCCGACCCCGCACTCGCGCCGACCTCGGGGTCGAGCCCAGGCCCGGCCCTAGGCAAGGGCAGGCTGGGCCCTTGCCCAGGGCCCATGCTTGGAAGGGGTCCACTATCCTATATCATTACTTCTTATATATACTATAGAAATGTCGTATAATTATTTAATATACATTCTAGTTAATGGTTTTTTATTTGGTAAGGCTTGGTATTTTATCTTGCATGGTCGAGGGATCGAATCCCCTTTTAGTAATTTTACATAAAAATCCCCCCCCCCCCCCCCCTACTATTTAGTAGATTATTTAAGAATTTTATTGTATTGAAATTTGAGTTAGGGTCCGTTTGAAAAGCAAGAAATGACTTCTGAAAAATGTTCTCTGGAAAATGAGTCATTTTCCGGAAAACATTTTCCTTTCCAGTGTTTGGTTGCATTCTGGAAAACTGTTTTTGTGTGTTTGGTTCATTTTCTGGAAAATGAGTAGAATTATATAATTAAACATTTTAATTATTTTATTTAGAATATTACAACATGTATAATAATATATAATAATATAATAATAATTTCAAATATAATAAAAATAACTAATAATATATCAAAAATATTATGGTGGTGGGGGTGGTGTAGTGGTAGTGGTGTTATTCGTTATATAATAATAATAATAATAATAATAATAATAATAATAATAATAATAATAATAATAATAATAATAATAATAATTGGTGGTGGTATGACGGTGGTGGTGTGGTGGCGGTGGTGTGGTGGCGGTGGTTGCGGTGGTATGGTGGTGGTGGTGGTGGCGGCGACGGTGGTTGCGATGGTATGGTGGTGGCGGCGGTGGTTGCGGTGGTATGGTCGTGGTGGTGGCGGCGACGGTGGTGTGGTGGTGGTGGCGGTGGTTGCGGTGGTGGTGGCGGCGGCGGCGGCGGCGGTGTGGTGGTGGTGGTGGCGGCGACGATGGTTGCGGTGGTGTGGTGGTGGTGGCGGCGGCGGTGGTAGTGGTGGTGGTGTGATGGTGGTGGTGCTGGTGCTGGTGGCGGCGACGGTGGTTGCGGTGGTGGCGGTAGTGGCGGCGACGGTGGTTGTGGTGGTGGCGGTAGTGGCGGCGACGGTGGTTGCGGTGGTGGTGGCGGCGGCGCGATGGTGGTGTGATGGTGGTGGTGTGGTGGCGGTGGTATCGTGGTGGTGGTGGTGGTGGCGGGGACGATGGTTGCGGTGGTATGGTGGTGGTGGTGGTGGCAGCGGTGGTGGTGGTAGTGGTTGCGGTGGTATGGTGTTGGTGGTGGTAGTGGTGGTGGTGGTGTGGTGGTGTGGTGGCGGTGGTTGCGGTGGTATAGTGGTGGTGGCGGCGGCAGTAGTGGTGGTGATGGTGGTAGTGAGGTGGTGGTGGTATGGTGTTGGTGGTGGTGTGATGTTGGTGTAAAACTTGGAAAATGACTTCCCCCAAAAAAAAGGGGAAGTCATTTTCCTCCAAAACAAGCCTATTTTCCAAAGTCAACGAAAAATGATTTCCGTTGACTTGATTTTCCAGGCACATCCAAACAACGGAAACTTGGAAAATGATTTCCAGAACTCATTTTCCAGGTTTCCAAACACACCCTTAGTTGAGTTGGTAGGACTTGTAATTTTTATGCTCATAGTCAAGGGATCAAATCCCTTTATATATCATTTCACATAACTTTTTTCTACAATTTATTTATTTCTATTTCTAATTTGTATTTTCTAAATTTAATTTGTAACTTTGTGATTTTGTTACTTTTCTATAATTATAGTGGGATTTATAATATAGATTGATTTGTAATTCATACCAAATTTTGAATCTATTTCTATTCGAGTAATTTACTACTTATATTTAGAGTATTTGTTGTTTTTTGAACTTTATAATGAGTTATGTATATGTAATATATTTTGTGATTTAGTTATGAAAAATATTTTAAAAGATAATTTAATTTTTTTTTATAAATTATCTAATCAATGTAGTTTAGAAGTTTTATTGTGCGTCATCGTATTCAAATTAATCTAGAAAAACTTGAAAGTGATATAACTAAAAAAGAGTATTTATAAATACGATATCAATATATAAGATGTGTGATTTATTACATGTTTTTTATTCAAACTATTTTATCCAATTAGTTATGTTTCATATTTTATTATGAATATCTTTTATCACGTTTGAGTGTTTTGATTTATTGTTTCCAATGATTAAGATTTTATGCTATACTCATATTTGTAAGTTTATACATACATATATATATATATATATATATATATATATATATATATATATATATATATATATATATATATATATATATATATATATATATATATATATATATATATATATATATATTATTTATTTATTAATAATTACTTTATTATTTATTATAATAACAATAATGTGATTGTCTATAAGCTCATTTGGTTTTAAATTATTTATTCATTTTTATAAACTATAATTCTTCATTTATGAAAATAGTGATGTGGTGATTGATTATTTTGGATTTAGGAATGCATCTATAATTGTTTTCATGTGTATATAAAATTGTTAAAAACTTGTGAATCTTATTAAGTTATTTGACATTAGTATTGCTTCCTAGTATTGCTTCCTTATTTAATTTAAATTTTAGTTATAAAAATATATTTTAATTTCATATAGGGCCCATTTTTGTCGTTATCGCAAATTATGCCCTAGAAACGTGTTCACCATGAAAGGTGAACACGGGTCCAAACGACGTCGTTTTTACGTAAAAAATAAATAAAAAAATTCGCGGATGTGGTGTTAATGGCGCGCGTTTGGTCAGATTATGAATTTTCTGTTATGAGATTATGAATGTCCTATAAATTCATAATCTCATAACAGAAAATTCATAATCGCATAAAAGAAAAACATTTATTAAATTATGAATTTTCTGTTATGAGATTATGAATTTACTGTAAATTCATAATCTCATAACAGAAAATTCATAATTTATGAATGTTGAAGAAGTTTGCGCTACAGAGGAGCAGCCATGGTTTCGGACGGAAATGTGTAGGCATGGTTCCAAAGTGAATGTGCAAGCATGGATTCATAATTTATGAATGTCCGAAATCATTGCTCACCTCAAATTAAAGTGAAACCGCGAAATGTGAAAATAAGAAGAAAAGTCACGCAATTAATTAAGAAAAAGAAGGAAAAAAGAAGAAGAAAAAAAAAAAGAAAAGAAAGAAGATAACGGTGCACTGTTGGGACCGTGTTCACCATCCATGGTGAACACAGTTCCATGGCATAACGATTGTGTCGTTATGCCCCGGGCCTAAAAAATGATAGGACCAGGCCTGGTCGAGCCGACCTCTTGGTTTTAGCCCCTATCCCTCTTGGGCTTTTCCTCTTCTAGACTTGGCCCTTTCTCCTCTTGGACCTCTCTTCTTCTTGGGCTTCTCTTCTTCTTCTTGGGCCCCAGGCCCACGGGGTTCACACCCCATCATACATCATCTGCTGTCTGTGCATCTTTTCCAGTTGCACGATCTTTAGAATATATTGCAGATAACGCATTATAAAACCTAAAGCTTCTTGTTCTAAAAGGTGTAACTTCTTTGTTAGTCTATAATAAACATAAATAAATTAGTTGTATGTATACATTAATAAAAATAAATGAAAGTACAGAAAAAGGTAAATACTTACAATTAAGTATGATTCCCAAATTGCATCTTCAGCATACACCATGTGTTTTTGGTCATTCCAACCGAACCCACTAGTGTTCTTACCTTGAACCATATCATGAATAATGCCCCATTCTTTTCTCAAAGTTTTAATTCTACTCTCAATATGTGGCTTAGCTTTTATGGTACAATTTGGTATTTTATCCAAAATCATTCTTTCAAGTTCTAATAAATAACTTGTCTTAAACCATGTATCGGAATTATATTTTCTTACATTATGCATTTCGGTCAAACATGACACTAATATAATGTCTTCTTCGCGTGTCCACTTTCTTTTTGTTTGCTTAACACTTTGAGAGCCGATGTTTGCAGATGTAGGGGGGGGGGAGTCATTCTTAACTACAAATAAATTGAAATAATAAATTATTAATCAAACTCAAACACATTATATTGTTCATAAACCACATTAGCAAAAACACCAAATCACAAAATCAAACATCAATGAATATGTCCTTAATTTCTAGATGATGTCCATTCAGTAAACATGTCATTTGCTAATTCTGTCCTCCAATTATTCCAAACTTCTGAAGGCTCTATTTGTGTAACATCATCATCATCTTCATGTATGCCATTACCTTGTACGAATTCATTTTCCATAGGATCAACAATCATCTCATTTCTAATAAAATTATGCAGCAAACAACATGCAAGTATAATTCTGTTATGTATTCTAACAGGATAAAATGATTGGCTTCTAAGTATAGCCCATCTCATTTTCAATAACCCAAAACAACGTTCTATGACATTGCGAGCAACTGCATGTTTCATATTAAAGAACTCTTGAGGAGTTGTCGGTTGATGAACTTGACGCCATTCATTTAAGTGGTACCTTTGACCTCTAAATGGTGCCAAAAATCCCTCACTATTAGCATATCCCTTGTCAACTAAGTAGTAACAACCTAGAAACATAAGTTTATAGTTTAATAAGAATGCATATTATATTACATGATATTTGGAATTTAATATTATAATGCTTACCATTAGGGACCTTAAGTGGATGCCTTCTAGATAATGCATCATGAAGAACTCTACTGTCTGCTACAGATCCTTCCCATCCCGGAAGAACATACACAAATTGCATATTAGGTGTACATACACCTAATACATTTGTTGCAATTTCACCCTTGCGAGATCGATATCTAGGCTTATCTTCTGATGACACTTGTATTCTAATGAAAGTTCCATCTAAAGCGCCTAGACAATTCTAGAAACAATATCAAATATTATTGACAGGATAATTGGGCTGGCACCCGACCCGGATCACAAATGGGCCTTGACTCAGCATATGGGCATTGACTCAGCATCACATGGGAACCCAACGGGCAGAACTCCAACGGTCAGGAATTCCAACAGGTGCCGTTGTTACTACCATTGAAGCCAGCATTGAAGCCCCCATTGATGAGAGAGAATTAAAGGCTAGGCTCCCACTTATGTCCCACGTTGTTACCGTTAGGACTCTAAGTATAAATAGGGCTCTCCTCATCTAGTAGAGGACACACTGTACTTTCTATACTGAGACAAAAGGCAATACAACTATTGTTACGTCTATTGTTACTTCATCACATCATTTGTTATTCTAATATTATTACCGGTAACGTTTTTACCGTCATTGGTGCTTTCATTGAGAGCCTGAGTCCAATACTCAAGCAGGCTGCGACACAACTCTTTTACTCTTTTAACAGCAAGCTTGGGAGAATGGCGTCCCGCAGCTCCCACGGTTCTCGCAACGCGAACAATGGCAACGCCTCAGGTGACCTCCGTGACCTACTCACCAACAATCGCGGAGGGGATCTCCGAGAACATCTCAACAACGGGAGGCCCGGGGACCTTCGAGATCAACTCAACAATGGAGGAGACCTTCGAGACCAACTCAACAATGGAGGAGACCTCCGAGATCAACCCCGCGATGGGGGGGGGGCGAACCAAGTCATGAGCCTCCAGGCAACCATTCAGCAAGCAGTGACGGCGGCACTAAACCAAGTGGCGGTGGGACTGCAAGGCCAAGTGCCCCCGCCGCGGCCTCGGGAAATCGAGGTAGAGTCCCCACGGAGAGTGGATGCCCAGGACGCAACCCGTGCCGCGAGGGACGCAGGGCGTCGCACTAGGACTGGGGGCCCGGGAGAGGGCACCCAAAGAAGCGGACCGGCCGGACAGCAACCTAGGCCCTCCCGCTCCGCCTTAGAACGGTTGGGACACGGGGCGCCCGCTCGGCAAAGGCCAGAATCGCGTGCCGAGGGGTCTTCCGCTAAAGGCCCTCGCCGACACGAGGAACGAGAAGCGGAGAGATCGCCCATAGAAAGGATGGGCGAGTCTCGTGGGCCGGCCCCGCGCCGCCACGGTCTTGAGTCGGCCCCGCGTCGACACTCCGAAGAGCGACGCTTCGACGAACCGGCCCCGCGTCGGCACTCGGCGGAGCGACGCGTGGATGAGCCGGCTCCGCGTCGGCACTCAGCGGGCGAACGACGCGTTGGTGAGCGGGTTCCACATCGACGCTTGGATGGACAAAACGTCGAGGAACCAGCTCCGCGTCGACATTCAGATGGACGACACGAACTAGCCCCACACATGGAGGAGCGGCAGCCGGCCCCGCGCCGGCACCCGGATGAATCAGCCCTGGTTGAAAGGCTGCAGAGAAGGATCGAGGAGTTAGCAAGAAGGGTGGAGGCACGGGAGCAGTCGCCGGAACCCGAGGTACGAATGGCGGCACCATTCTCCCCAAGCATCATGGACGTACCTCTGCCGAGGGACTTCAGGTTACCCGCCATCAAGGCATACACAGGAGCCACTGACCCACGTGTCCACATGACTAGGTACAAGGCTACTATGGTAATGATTGGGGCAGGGGACGCCATCATGTGCCGAGCGTTCTTGTCCACCCTGGATGGAACGGCCCAAGATTGGTTCAACACAATCCCAGACGGGTCGATCCAAAATTTTGGAGAGTTGTCCAAAAGCTTCCTGACATACTTCTCTGGTAGCATACAGCGTAAGAAACCATTCTCTCACCTGTGCGTAGTAAAGCAGGATAGAGGCGAAAGCCTCAAGGACTTCCTGATCAAGTGGAAAAAGGAAGTCAATAATGTCTATGACTTCGACTCCAAGGCGGCAATCCCTATATTCATCCATGCCTTGAGATCGGGGTACTTTCACAAGCAACTGAATGCCCACCACCCCCGTTCCTACGAAGATTTGATGAGGACGGCTAGCCGCTATGCCGAAGCAGAAGACGTCGACAGGAAAAAGAAAGATGAGGAGGACGGCAGGAAAAACGGGAAACCTGGGAAAGCTGGTCCGTCCAGCCAGGCACCACGTTCGAACCACCCGGCTGCAGGGAAGGGCCGGGACCATGAACGGCCTCGCCTGGTTCCCCTGCGTAACCTAACTCCTCTTACCCATCCCGTTAGCGTCATCCTAAAACAGGCTGAGGAGATGGGAATAGTCGAGTTCCCACCGGAATGCATGAAAGTCTCCCCAAAAGGAGACCAAGCAAAGTACTGCAGGTTCCATAGGCAACCCGGGCACGACACGGACGAATGTAACGTGCTAAAGAGACAAATAGAAGAACTCATCCAGCAGGGCTACTTTCGGCATTTTGTCAAGCGATCCAAGCAGCAGCAACAGCCGCAGCGCGACCCATCGAAAAATCCACCAAAAAATGTCTGGAGGAAGGAGGATGGCGCCGAGCCATCCACCTCGAACGCCAGGAAAAGAGACCACGACCAGATATCGGAGCAGGATGATAGCGAGAAGGAAACCGAGATGGCGCCCAGACGACAAAAGAAACACACCATACATTTCATCTATGGTGGACCAGCTGGCGGCGACACACCCACAGAGAGGAGGAAGTGGAGCAGGCAGCTGTACGTGGGAGAAGTGGTGAGTCTTCCCAAAGGGAAGAAGCAGAGGCGGGAGGCCATCACTTTCTCTGACGAGGACCTCCCCGAGGGCCCCTTACCCCATCGCGACGCACTAGTGATTAAGATGGACATTAATGATATGATCGTACATCGCATCTTGGTCTACACGGGAAGCTCGGTTAACGTGATGTACTACGACGCCTTCACCAAGTTGGGGCTACCTAGAGGCCAGCTCAAAGAGGTACGAACTCCATTGTTTGGGTTTACTGGGGATTCCGTGGAAACAGAAGGGTCGGTGACCCTGCCCGTGGAGATAGGCACGAGCCCCAACATTCGCAAGATGGACATGGAGTTCATCGTGGTAAGGCTCACTTATGCGCACAACATCATACTGGGGAGGCCAGCACTAGAGGACCTCAAGGCCATAATATCAGTGGAACACTTGTGCATGAAGTTCCCCACTCCGAATGGGATAGGAGTCGTCAGAGGTGACCGACGGGCAGCCCGCAGTTGCTACGTGAAGGCATGCAAGAAGATTGGCAGCAAGGACTTACAGGTCCACACGATCGCGGAGAAAATTTTCAAAGAAGAAGAGGCCTGGACCCGCGCCGAGCCCGTGTCAGAGACAGAAGACATAGTTCTCGATCCCTCCAGACCAGACCGAGTGGTGAAGATCGGCACAGGCTTAAGCCCAGAGCTAAGGGCCCAAATTCGCCGTTCTCACACGGTGTTCGCATGGGGGCCAGAGGACATGCCGGGCATAGATCGAAGGATCATAACCCACAAGCTCGCGGTCGACCCCAGCGGAAAACCAGTGCATCAGCGAAAAAGGTATATGTCGGCAGAACGAAGAGAGTTCGTGAAAAAGGAGGTGACCGCATTACTCAACGTAGGGCACATCAAGGAAATTTACTACCCACAGTGGCTGAGCAACGTAGTCTTAGCTCCCAAAGGATCGACATGGAGGATGTGCGTG